ATAAATGCGGATGAATTTTTCATGTTGATTTTGCGATAGGTCGTGAGAAGAAATATCGTAGGCGCCGAAAACCATTAGCCTATCCAACGCTGCTGGCTAGGCCTAGCCTTACCTCGATTTTAGGTTCTGTTATCACACATAAAAACGGCCGACATGATATTTTCCGTTGCTAGTATTGACACTTGTGAAATATAATATTCCATAGGAATTATTTCAAATTTGTTAAAAACTGATTCTGACTGAGATTTTGACACTTAAACAAACATATCTCAACCTAACCTAACGACCGCATTGTGCGAAATGCGAAGTACAAAAAGTAATCTCATTAGAGAGGGCGCACTTTATTGACTGTATAAAGTATACATAAAAGCGAGAGTATTCCAGTGGATGCGATCTACAACCTCTGAATTTAGTATTCCAGTGGATGCGATCTACAACCTTTTGCCTAGTAACGATGAATTCGTCGAGAAAATGGTAATATTTTATGAGAAATAGTCTGTATTTCTCATTTTTTTTATTCTTTTGCGTAAAACTAAAATTCATGCCAATATTTTACCATGATTTATAATAATTGGAGTAATGCAAATGCATATTTTCTAAAAAAAGCCATTTTTAGTGAAATTTTGCCGGGAATAACAACGTAACAAACTATTTGATCGTATGCAATAAAAATTACTCTTTTGAATCTTGTGTATGTTATTGTATATAAGGCCGGGTGGTTGAATATCAATACAACACAAAAAAAAAGTATTTATTTTTTATTTTGTCGCCCATTTATCCAAATACGGAATATAAGATGTGTCTCTTATACACATCTAGATGTGTATAAGAGACAGGTCCCACTGAATGCAAACACTTGACAAATTCACCGTCACCAAGCGTATTTAGAACATTGCCCCCCATCCTGGTCATAATCCGCATACTAGCCACGACGTAGGGGGAGTCGGTCAGCTGGATGCCAATTTTGGACAGCGGTGATCCGACTGGTCCCATGCTGAATGGAATAACGTACATTGTTCTTCCTACAAGAGAAAAAACATTACCATATATAAAAATTATAACTGCCTAGATATTCACACGATTAGCATAATATGCATTACAAGCTGGCCAGTCTTCTTTCTTAAATTTTCAATTAACAGTGCAGTGGTGTTGGTTAATGGCAGTTCCAATTTTACGATTTTCGGAGGTATTACATCTGCATGACTTCTTCATCAATTTTTAAACATTATTCCAGTAATTATATTTTAGCAATGTAAGTTACAGTAGGTTAGGTATATTTCTTAGAAGATTGTATATTGCATTGGTTTGCAAATTTATACATCCAGTGAACAGGGTTAATGAATTTACAAGCACTTAAATATCAGACAGTATGGTATTAGCAATGTATGTGTTGTACCTGTCATGCATGATGGGAATCTTTCTCTGAAGTCCTGCTGAAGTTCCTTTGGAGATCTCCAATGTCCGAGTGTTCCTTTGATGTCGTCCTTCACTATGGGAATGGTGTCTCGTTTATTTGGTGTTGATATCACTGTTTTGCTTTCTACCCTCGCAACATCTTTGGGATCGGTCTTTGCGAGCCAGCTATAAAAACAATAAAATGTTTAGGATTCTAATTATTATTATACTGTAGTACCATCACTCTCACCACACAGCATAGTGCTTGGTGGGACTTGACCTCTAAAGTTTAAACCCAAGGTATTGTGAATCACCCACCTATAATGTAAAAAAAAGTGTATCACTCCACCATCTTTATCAATGGAACTAATTAAAAAACGTGAACAAAAATGTGTGGTTAAACCCTTTCTCTCTTTAATAAAAGACTTTGACCTTGTAAAGAGAAAAAGGAAGGTATTAAGACAACAATTTAAGTACAGTAGCATAAACCATTGTTATTCTTTGACAAAATTAAATTAGCACCTCTGGATCAGACAATCAATGTCAAGTCAAATCCTCCTACATTAGGTTATACTTTAGAAGCCATTGCTTCTTATGCTCTGCTGACCCACTCTTGCATGTGGCTTTCTATCTATATGTATACTGCACTCACACTCATAACTAAAAGAGATATTGGGTTTCTTTTTCACTTTTTATCATTCATATAGTTTGTCTACACAACATATTATTCAGTCTCAATTGTGTAAAAGTGGTTCTATTATGAAGTAAAATAAAACAATTTAATAATAATTATTTATAATTAGATTAAACAAATTGTTTGACTTACAATAACTATTTTCCTCCCATGATAATTTATTAATAATTAAATACTGAAAATTGTAATGTATGAATTCATTAAATGATCATTAATAATTATTATCCCCATGGCTACATGATCCTCATAAAAAGCACCCTACATTATATTAAAAGACACACCAAAAAGACAGTCATTACAAGTCATGTGATTAGACACTTTATCACTTCCTCATACAGTACAATGAGACTATTCTAAATCAACAAAATGTGTCCACACTTGTTTCTGACAGAAAATTTAAAGTTGTTATTCAATTTCTATTAGAAATACAGGTACAAGATAATTAAAAGTCTCTACATAAATTCTAATCTAATTTAATTCATTGAATATACTACCGGCTGTGAACAAGGTTTCTTGATATTTCATTGCTAATCAAGGCCTTTTATTACATTATGAATGACAAAAGAATATTAACACCATATTTCATTAAATTATTTAAGCAGACAATTACTTTTGAATTAATTACACTTCAAGATTTGTTAAAACTATCAGCATCTATTAGTTATACATTTTACTCTGTTCCAAAATTTAAATTCAAAACTATTTATAGTCATTTAATAAACAGTAATTTCAGATTCTATAGCTGATCCAAATATGACTGTAATTTGAATATATAAATAAAAGTGGTTGCAGTCTGAGCTCTTAAGTATAAGTTTGGGGGTTCGGCCCACAGAGGATTTCTCATGTTCCCATGTTCAATATATCACTTGACATACCCTATTATTCCCCCTTGAATCTGCCACTGTTCAATATAACATTTGACATAGCCTATCATTTTGTATCACAAATGATAAATTCCTAATTAATGTCAAGCGAAAGATTTATTTTTTACTCAATACAGTTTTTACAACCTATAACACATTAACTACAGTGTACTGTAAATTCTGTAGTTAACCTTCAGAGAACTTTATTTTTAAAAATGGCCTACTTAATTATCTTATTGTTTTCGTTAAATTAGATGGAGTTTAAATGTGGTTATACTGTATTCTGCTAGTTTTAATGTTTACTGTATTTGCCAATCAGTTACAGTTACTATACATCTTCGTGGTGGTTAGCATAAAGAGAACTAGAACGTTGCTCCATTAAGAGCGCCTACCTCTCCCCATATGCCTAAATATAGAATTCACGAAGGCAGGCGATTTTTTTCTTCATGCTTGAGGGTGGGTTTCAAGGGAACTTTACAGACGCGCATATACAGACGTCAACCAACATTTGGTTGCTCAACTCAAAAAGGGAACTTGTAATGCTTGTTAGAAAATGAAAAAAAAATCTATATTTTATAATGATAACAATAGGTCAATTTATAAGATGCAAATAAACAAGGTGTCTAAGCACCAAATAATAATAACAATAACAATAATAATAATAATAATAATAATTACAATTTAATAATAATAATGACATTGCAGTGTTTGTAAAATGTTTGTCACTGGTGCTGGGAAGAGTCACAAAAGTGGGGGTCCAGTCCTCCCTCCCCACCCAGTAGAAAAAGTGGGTGGGCCAATAGCCCCCCACCTCCGCCGCCGATTACTACAGTGTACTGACACACAATTTTACATCACTTTTCTCTGCTGTCATTTTTCATGTTGTGAAAGGTTACATTTGGATGTATCTATTTTTGGCTGCGGAGCAGATTAGCTACAACATGTAAGGCCCTTATCACTAGAACAAAGACCCATTACAAAATGAAGCCTGAACTTCGGACTTGAAATCTACCACTGACAGACATTTCCTTGACTTTTCTGATAACCTGTCAAAAACATTTTCTCCAGCTGATTGCAGTCGCGAGTGAGGCTCCAATGGTGCACAGGAATTTAAATGTCTACTTGTTGCTGTACAGATGAATCATACAATGCAAAGCTCAGGGTTTTTATATTCAATCAGGCATATGAAGGCAGGCTCAACAAATTGATGAAGCAAAAAGGAGGGATTGCTTATTACATGACAATGATTAAACAAACAAAATGTGTATTGATGTCTAGGCAGGGGTTTAGCCAGAAAAACAAAATAGGCCATCCAAAATATGCTTTAAGTTTAATGCAACATTTGATAGATTCGAAGAATATAAAGAATTTGCTAAAGTGGCCATTCTAAATCATTATTGGCCGTCCAAAAGACGGCAGAACGGCTCGCAGACTAAGCCCTTGTGATTAGGGATTTTAAATGTAATAATTTTTTCTTGAGGCAATATTCTTTATATTTTAAATACTCAAATTTATGTGAGCAAATAGAAGAATAATGATGTGGAGCCTACTTATTTCTCCAATCAGTAATATTGATAGTCAAGACACAGTATAAAAGAAATAACGATAATTAGACCAGGCATAAAAAACTATAGGCCTGCACTAGCACATTATTTTGATCAGATCTATGAACCATCACTTTATGATATAAATAACAAGGTCCATCGGCATGACAACTAGTCTACTAATACAATAGTATACAGAAATGCTAATTGCACAGAATTCCAACTCACCAATTTTCATATTTTGTCAGTCGCTTTATCATGCCTTCCTTCTCCATAAGATCAAGAAGCTGGCATTCCTCCTCTTCTGAACCGTCACATATATGAATACTGTCGGGCTTACACAGATCCGCCTTCTCCATCACATACTCCTTCACGTGAGGTCGTAGGTCATTTATACTCATTGCAGACATTGCAGGATGGGTAGCTATTGTAAAACGTCTAAACCGGTTTACTGACTTAACTAAGGAGGTACTTCTCCTGTAAAAAACATAGAAATTTTGCATTATTAATTCTATGGAGAGCATGGTTGCATACACTGCTCCGAACACCAAGCATAACTTGGTTATAACACAGAAGATGTTGTTTTGTTTTTTTTTATTCCCACATCAATATTTCTCCAATTTTTTACGCGGGCGGGAGTGATATTATATACAAAATTTTTCTATTTGCCCTTAGATGAACAAAATTACAAAGTATGATACCGTGGCATCATCAAACCCACATCCCAATCCCATTCGCTGAAAATTTTCTATATGCTGCTGCACAATAGACCACTGGGAAGTACTGTATACTATTATTATTATTAGCATTAATAATTAATATAAGGGCTAGGCCTAAATTAAACTCTAAATAATATAGGGATTGTTTGAACATTTCAAATGTTGTCTTGTGTGTGGTGTTTAATAGTTGCCTACTCAACAGACTACTATTAAGACTTGGCTAAACAGTAAACTAGAGACCTACGTAGCCCCCTAGGTAGATAGACCTCTCTAAGGTAAGTATCCGTAACCTCATTCAAACGGACCTTGGTTTGTCGGACAGCAGGCCTTCCAAACTAGGCAAGCCTTGGCCTAGACAGAGGGAGAGCTTATCTTAGGCCTAGACGGAAACCGTCAAATTAATTGTACTTACCGTAATAGCTGAAATGTTAATAACGTCATTTTGAAACACACTCTTTATATACTACTTTGGGGGAAATAAATAAACGATCCAAAACTGAAAATATATCAAATTTGTCGATTCACTAACAAATGACTCAAGAGAATGTCAATGCAATTCTGTAAGTTAGTCAGCCGCGATCAGCTGGATCCGATTCCGATCATCATACACCACACCGCCAATGACACGACGGGAATCATTCTGCGCAAACTCACAACTTTAACTCATAATTCCAGCGCGGAGGAAAAACAATTCCATTCCTCCATTCAATTAAACTAAATGAATTTGTAATACACTAAGTTTTTTTAATTTATTAAAACCCAAGACAAAGCAATTTATTGCTGATTATTATGGAATTATTTCTTACTTCGGAAAAGAAAAATATACGGAAAGATAAATAGGTTCTCTCCTTTTGATTTCCATGTTGAAATGAATTATATAGGCCAGGTCTATATTTTAATATGAAGATATTTTATTTTTATTTTTTTATACTTTATTTCATTTTATATTATATTTTTAATTGATTGATTGAATTTGTTCGATCCGAATTTCCAATACATTAATTATATGGTTACTGCATGTTTTATTTAGCATCTCATCACAATAGAATTTAATCATCATTTACATTTCATATCTTAGATTACTGTAAACAAGATAAATTATTAATAGGCCTAATTGTCATTTTTGTTTATTTTTACATATTTTAATATGTACTAATAAACAAAAATTAACAAACAAAATAGGCAAGTTTTGTGGTCTTATTGCAATGCGTATTAATATTAGAAAGTGTGGAGGTGTGTCGAAATCCGAGTTGGTCATTGGCCAATACAAGTGGTGTGTCGTTGGTGTGTCACAATTTCCTGATTGCATCATCGCTATTGACATTGCACAGCTGATCAAAATTACAATGCGCATAAACCAGAAAACCAACTCGTTGCATTGTTCGTGTTTTTCTTATTCGTGTCTTTAATAAGCAAATTGAATTGATTTGAAAAGGTCAGTAATAATTTTAACAGATAAAGTTTAAGGAGGGCTCACTTCTCTTACTTTTCTTGTACTAAAACAATCCGTCCTACGAAGATAGATATATAGGACTAATAGTTGAACAGCAGTAAATACACTATTAACTCTTTTTTTTTTTTTTTTCGAATTTCGTATTTTCGACTTCAATATAAAAGAAATTAAGCTTTCAGTTTTGCCCTAATCTAATTTGCTTATCAATGAATAGGCAAGGCCTATACATAGTAGAGAACTGGTCCCTATTCACCAAGAGTGCATCCCATCGGAATAATTCTTCAGTTTATAGTTTATATTGCATCAAAATCACAGATTATTTCGAATACGAATAACAAGTAATTACACTAAACCTATGTGGTGTATGAAACTTTCAACACAAAAACATGAGGAATAATGAAATGAAATATGTGAAGATGATAAGACAAAAAAATAGACTTACCAACCTATCGACGAAATGGCTCTGACTAAGGACATTTGCAGATTAATTTGACGATGTTAAATTGCAAGTTATTGAATATCACCGTGATTTGAGAATTTTGACGTCTGTGGCTTAACGCATTACAATTGTTGTTTTGTGGGCGTTGGTGTATTCCAATGATTCCATTGGTCACCACCGGAGGTGTGCCGGTCGTAAATTATGTAAATGAGATCCCATCAACCATGAACGCAAATGATGCAATTTTTCATTTTAAGATTTTTTCGCTCAAATGCCTGTGTTTGTTATTGACGAAGCTCGTATCATGCTATTAAACTCATATGTGATCGAGAGCAACAGACAGAACAGCAATGTGTTTCTCTCGAGTTGGCAAACATAGAGCCCAATATGGATAAGAAGAGTTTTTTAATGATCACTCAATAAAATAAACAACATAATAAGGGCATAGCAATACAGTAACTTGAATTATATATTTGTATAATACGTCCCTAGGTGTTTACTGAAATGTTGAAGTGAAGTTTAACCAGCTCTATTTCTGTAACATTTCTCAGCTTACTGAATCAGTGTAGACCCAAACAGCTTACTGAATCAGTGTAGACCCAAATAAATAAAAAGCAATTACAGTTTAAAAATAAAGTTCTTCAAATGCCACGTCGGCCTCTGTGTTTATTGACGTCATACAATTTATTTGGGAATAGGCACTATACTTGAAGCTGTCATGGTAACGATCCTATGTGGTCATGATACCATGGTTTTATTATAGCTCAATGGTCATGACGAGGTATAGGCAGAGATCAAAAAATTGTCATGTCAGCATAATATAGATAGATACCACATGTATTATAACCAAGGCCCTATAATTCCAATTCCACGTCATGAATAATACGGATTATAATGTCCTTGTTAAATTTAGTTTGTGTTCAACGTCGTAATCTGGTCTTGATCGGTGAAATTATAATAATCTGAGAGGTAGAGACATACGGATGGTAGAGACAGAGATAGAAATAATTGTGACACAATTGGAATAATAAATACATGATTCTTCATTCAATATCGTCACACCTTCTGGCCCCGACAATATTTCTGCACTATAGGTGCAGCCTATTTATTATTAGTAACACAGTCATTCACTCGTTCAACAAGCGTTGTCTTTCAGTGTCTTTATTGAAACAAAAATCATCTTTAGCCAACATGTTGCTTATTAATATGTATAGAGTATAGAGCAGATAGAGTGTGTGGACCATATGGAAATGTATTGATCCGTGTTGTTGAAGGATCGTGACATTGTCATTTCTCAAGGACAAATTAAAGGTTGACTGAATAGTCAGTAAACTTGTTAACTAAACATAAGTTATGTACCATATAATTCAAAAGGTCCGTGTATATAGATTTTAAATGTAACAAACCTCTCATAACGACGTCTTCACAAAAATATGCTGAGTCACTTTTTCAAACATTCATGAACTCCACACTCCATAACAACTATGAACATTATTATTATAAATATTCCAATAGTTTCATCTGGTTTGCTCATTATTTTTGTATTATGTGTGTGTTTTTATAGGTAATTTTGTCCTAGTGCTAGTTCGATTTTTTTTTTTTTTTTTTGTTACACTTTTAATATTATATTTTACTTTTTTCTTTTTTTTCACATTATGGCGCTATTTAAACCCACTACATACATATTAATTTTATGAATTTGTATTAATCATTTGTAAATGTTTGGATTATGAACCTGACTAAAATTGTAGCACGCCCACTCTTAAATTGAAGCCATTCTATCGAATCGTGAAATATTTTGGTTGTAATAAAATTAAATCGCGCCCTCTATGGCTTAGATACAACGTACTTTTTTGTGAGCAGTGGCTTTTTAATAGTACTCTGCAAAAATGTGTTTATACAGATGGTTTCTAAGGGATACCTTTACAAGCTTGCTTGTTTTTGCTCCAATTTACTTTGGAGCAAAATAAAGTTAAACTCATCTACTGTACTGTATTATGATTATTATTTTGTTGTGACGCTTTTAAGTTTGTACGGTAGGCCCTATATCAAAAATGTTTGCCCTTTGCGTGAATTATATAAAAAAAATTGAAACACTAGTGCTCACGTGACAAACAAACATTCTCCGAAGATGACAGACATCAATGATGCATGCCTTAATGTGTTTACAGTTATGCATGATGATAAATCCTCACTCGATTTGCCAGTAAAGTACTCTGGCCTAGGCCTATATTTTGAGCGAATATCGGAATTGTACACTGGTGCGAGACTGACCGATTTCGAGACTTGTCAATACTGTGCCTGTGTCCTTGAGAATGACTTTTTCTATGATGAACTCGTCATTTGGATGAGACTTTAAGCCAATGGTCCCGTCCGCATAAATTAGCATATGCGCACACAAAACCAACGCAGTAATTTGAAAATAGCAGGGGATATTGTCTTCCTTTCTACAAATACAGTCTCCTGTCCTGCCATTCTCTTTTCCAGTGTAGCATACTCTAGACTGTTTATTATTTTAAATTACTTCATCAGTATTCAAATAATATAACTATTATATGTAAGGAGCAAACTGTTCTGTGGTAAGGCTTCAATAGTGTTCTCCAGAGGCCGGGTTTACCGGCATTTTTGCCGGAATTTAGAGGCACCCGACTGGAATAAAAACATTTTAAATGACCATCGTTCGATTTCAAAGCAGGCAGGTCTTCATTCGACGTGTGGGAAAAACAGCTGTATGATTTTAGTCGCTTTAAACATGATAATGAATTTATTGATATTAATCAATGTTGGCTGTGTAGTGACGTATTACGGTAATGTCAGACGGTCACAGACCTATTAATATTTAGAGACAAGTTCAATGTTAGGTACATGTTTGCTATTTAATGTTTTAATGACATGTTTTCGTTTCCAGTCTGAAGCTAATATTTTGCTTTTTTTTTTCTAATTTCACAAGCTCTTTATCTACTTAGTTTCCACTCCACCCAAAGGTATATGTTCTATGCATAGGTACCTGTTACTGTATTACGTTCAATAGGCCCTTTTTTGTGGTAGACCATGTGCACGCGTAACCGTGAACTGTTGCGCGATCCTCCCGTACAACGTAGATGAGTTCCGAAAAAAGCGATAATATATAAAATAACGCGAAACACGTGATAGCTTTCCGCCTACGAATTACATTATAGAATATGTGTATGTGCGTTATACTTTAGGTTGAATGACGTTTCCACCTAAATCATAGCATCGTAAACCGTACACAGAAATGTATTGTTCGCGTAAATTTTCTTAATTCCTCGGTTTCCCACAAACCATTGGGAAATGTTATAAGCTGCGGGAAGAGCTGAATTTCTTGAAAACACGCTGCTTCAGGGATTTGTTTACAAAGCTAAGTAGACTAAACCATGAGATATGACGTAAGTAATAATCTAAGAACGCTGTTCGAAAAGTATCGTTATTTTACCGTAGGTTATTATATTAAGATAACACGCTTACATCAATTTCCATATAGGCCTATACGAATTGCGAATCAAAACAAGTAAATCGGAATGTTGATGACATAAAAATTGGTATTCATCTTTTTTCCATCTAAATTGTTGGTCATTTCTGAAAATTCCAAACTCTCTAGCTCTTCATTCATATGGAACGCCGAAAGGAAAAACCACAAGTGGCAGTGCAAAAGGCAAGTGACGCATTGCAAAACTAAAGTGGCGCAGTGCAAAACAACAGTGTCACAGTGCAAAAACTATAG